AACCAAAAAATCCGAGCCAGCTCGGGCCAAAAGCTCAAGCCGAACCTCATTTTTTTTGGCCAGGCCCGGCTCGGCTCGGCTCGGCTCGGCTCGAGCCAAAAAATGCTCGGTCCAAAAAAGCCCGGGCTCTGCTCGGCTCGTTGCCACCGCTAGTCGGGTCACCCACATGTGGTGACCTACGACCCGTATTGTCTAACATATTGCTTTGTGAATTTGATTTTTTTTTTAATTTGGCGTTTCTGTTGAGGTGGCATTGATGGCGGCGAGGCAATTTTTTGGGTGATTTTGGTGTGTAGCGTCTTGTGCTAAGGTTCAGGGCAGTGGTGGTCTAGTTATTTTTTCAACAATGAAAGCAAGTTGTAACACTATGGCAAGCATAGTGGGGGTAGGGTAGGGGTAGGGTGGCCCGACAACAGCAATGATGTAATATTGAATGTTACGTGCGATGACAATGATGATTCTGTAACATGAAGTGTTACATGTGGTGGTGTGGGCGACGACGAAGGTGATGGTGGTGACGGTGATATTAGTGATGGTGTAATAATGAATATTACAAGTGAAAGCATTGATGTAACACTGAATATTGCAAGTGGTGGTGACTTTGAGAAGATTGTGTATATAAATGTAACATAATTTAATACTATTAGTGTCTGTGGCAACAACGCTAATGTTGGAGAAAACACGTTTCATAACAATGTGAGGCATTTTGTTACAAATGTATTCTAAAAAATTAAAGAAAAAGAAAAAAGAAAAATAGTATTTGAGGGAAAAAAAAACAATTTAGAGGTGTGGAATAATTGAGATAATTGTCCCATGATCTATGAAATTACGTGTCTTTAATTGCTAATTGAAGTTTAAGATACTGAGTTTTAACCACTAAACTTATCCAAACATTGGACATTACTCACGGCATAACATCCGTTTCAAACTTTTAACGATATTAGTGACGAGGCAAACAGAATGCACATGTGACGTCATATCATGGTGTTACCAAATTGTTTTGTCTTCAATTGTTCACTAAATTTTGAAAAAATGTCTTTGATTGCTCACTAAACTTTGAAAAACGTTATCACTTGCTCACTAAAGTTTGAAGTCGTCGAATTTTAACCACTAAATTTATAAGAATGATGTCGTATGTTGTTCGTTAAAAAATGTATACCGCAAGCACAAAGGTCATGAATCCTACGAGAAATGATTACTTAATCACACAATATTTAAATACATTTTTCTCTCCATTCGTTTCGACCACATATTTTTCAATAAAATAATATTACATGCAAATTCAAAACTTTTATTATTTTTTGACCCACAATTTTCATCAATATGCTATTTCAAAAATGCATTCTTAGCCAAAAAAAAAAAAAAGGACTCAAACGTGTGCTTAACATATTTTTGTAGAATTTTAAGCTATTTTCAAAAATTCAAATTTATTGTTATTTTGTTGTTAAAATTAAATTAAACTTGAATTTTGCAAAGAAATGCACAATAAACTTAGTTAAATAGATTTTGCAACGAAACACACAATAAATTTAAATAAAATTTGGAT